CTCCCTGTTATCCAGTTGTAGGATTGTGCTTAACTAGAGTAAATAATTTCCCTCATCAATTTCAGTATGTTTGAAGAGGTATTTATTCTTGCATAACCATACGGTCGAAACCACAACAAACCACGCTACCTGCCATCCACCACTGTCTTTCTTTCTTTTGTAAGTCCCAACATGTTGCTGAAAAGCCTCCTCTAAATTGCAGTGCATAACATAATTCAACCCCCACCATCTTAAGCATTTTATCCATAATTTCCAAGCATGTATGTAATTTAGGAACAAATGATTCACACTCTTGATGCGCGACCCACCCACATATGACATATTGCTTGAGATTCCTCCTTCAATATTTCTCTAGCTATCAAATTGTCTTTAGTTGGGATTCATTTGTGTAAAAATTATCACATAAAAGCATATACCTTCTTCAAGACTAAAGGATTCCAACATTTCTTCAAAACTTCAGATCCATCCTGTTCCGAGGGGTGGAATAGGAACTTGTAAGCTGATTTCACAGAGTATTTTCCATCATTATCCCATAACCAAATCCATATATCTTCATTGTTAACCATTTTTAGCCCACTAGTTTGTTCTCCTACAGAAACTCCACAAGTTGAGCAATGCTCTCTTATTCTCGCTGGTGTAGTTGGCGTCTCCACTTGAGGTCCCACAACTTGGAATTGTTCCTCTATAATCCCATTAACTATGATGTCTTTCTCTGCAACTAGCTAAAATAAATCTTGAAAACCTCTCATAGAGATTAAAATTTCCCATCCAATTATGCTTCCAAAACAAAGCATCTTTCCCATTCCCTAACCTTAATCTAAAACTCTTTGTCAACCATCCCTCTGACCCGTCTAGCACCGAATTTAAACTACAAATACTTTGCCACCATTGTGAGCCCTGTGTAGTACCGTCCCTAGCCCATTCTACCCAGTTACTATCCTGCAGTTCATATTCTCTTCAAGCACCTTTCTCCATATTCCCCTCTCTTGACATAATAACCTACTCCACCATTTTCCTAACAAAGAGATGTTAAAAACTCTAAGATTCTTAACAGCTAGATCTCCTATCAATTTTTCCTTAGCAAATATTCTCCCACTTTACCCAATAAATCCTTTTTCTCTCCAAGCCCCCACGAAACCCCTCTTTATTGAATCTATAATTTTAATAACATATTTTGAGACAAGGTATATTGAGATGAGAAATATCAGAAGGCTTGAAAGCATAGAATTTAATAGGACAATTCTTCACCAAAAGACAGAAACATCCATAATGAATTCCTTTTACGTTTTGATTTATTATGATTATTTAAGTTTTTATTTATTTATTTTATTAATATTGCATGCAGATAGCCTCCAATGGTGAGTATAAAAGTGTGCAACATCGGGTGTTGGCCAACTCTAATAAGAACCCACGAATTACGCTGGTTGAATTCTTCAATCTGAGCAAATGGAAAGGAAATGGTTACTATGGACCTCTTCCGGAGTTGCTATCGGCAGAGAAACCAGCGATTTATCGTAATTTTACCGAACAAGAGTTCCTTGAGAATTTCTACAGCAAGGGGTATGATAGCAA